CCCTCGCGGCTGTAAACCGCGTGGCTGTAAACCGGCGGTTGCAGTTCTGTAAAGGGACGGGCAAGCAGTCCCAATACTAACTTTCCCCTACCTAATTCACAGCAGGGAGTCATGCCTGACATCACCCTCCTGAAGGTCTCCGAGAGCCAGAAGGAGAAGATGCTCCGGGACAGCCTGCAGAAACCGGGGCCATTTGCTGCACTGCTGTGCAAGGCCATGATCCCGGAGTACCTGCTGGCGTTGTGGCAGGGAAACGTGTCCTACCACGGGGGGCCTAATAAGCTGTCCCTGCCCAGGAACCTGCTGATGAGGCTTGAAAAACACCTGCAGGAGGTGTATGAGGAGTTCTCCCCGGAGGATGTCGCCTCGATCCCCGGTTACATTGACCAGTTCTTGGCTTAGGTGCCCTTGGAGGGACAAATGACTGCAGGGTTTTGGGCACTATAATCATGAAGCGGACATTGTGAGATTTTTTTAAAATGGTTCGGACTATATATTGAGGCGCCCAAAGACGGAGTAATCATGATACACTTTGCACTGATTCCCCTTTTGTTTGACTTTCCTGTTTACATGTTTTTAAGCACTTTACCCACTGTTAATATTTTCAATCTTCCTGTTTTGTTGCAAATAAATGTTTACATGTTTTAAAGCACTTTAGCTACTGTTAATATTTTAAATATGCCAGTTATGTTGTAAATAAATGTTTGGATATTTAAAACACTTACTGCTTGATCCTTCCCCTGAATCTGTGTCTGGGGTAACGGCTGGGGAGGGTTGGTAGGGGATCTCTGTCAGGGTGATGAAGAGCTCCTGGCTGTCGGGCAAATCAGCGTTGTAAGCGCTGTCTACTGCCTCGTCCTCCTCATCTCCTTCCTCCTCTTCCCCGTCCGCTGAGGAACCGGCCGCGGACAATATCCCATCCTCAGAGTCCACGGTCAGGGGTGGGGTAGTGGTGGCGGCCGCACCTAGGATGGAATGCAGTGCCTCGTAGAAACGGGATGTGTGAGGCTGGGATCCGGAGCGTCCGTTTGCCTCTTTGGTCTTCTGGTAGCCTTGTCTCAGCTCCTTGATTTTCACGCGGCACTGCGTTGCATCCCGGCTGTAGCCTCTCTCTGCCATGGCTTTAGAGATCTTCTCATAGATCTTTGCATTCCGTCTTTTGGAGCGCAGCTCGGAAAGCACGGACTCATCTCCCCACACAGCGATGAGATCCAAGACTTCCCGATCCGTCCATGCTGGGGCCCTCTTTCTATTGGATTGCACGGCCATCTCTGCTGGAGAGCTCTGCATCGTTGCCACTGCTGCCACTGCTGCTGAGCTCGCCACGGTGTCCAAACAGAAACTGCGCTTCAAACTGCCCAGACAGGAAAAGGAATTCAAATTTTCCCGGGGTGTGGCTGGTCAGAGCATCCGAGCTCGGACTGCTGTCCAGAGCGTCAACAGAGTGGTGCACTGTGGGATAGCTCCCGGAGCTATTACCGTCGATTTCCATCCACACCTAGCCTAATTCGATATGGCCATTTCGAATTTAGCGCTACTCCTCTCGTTGTGGAGGATTACAGAAATCGATTTAAGGAGGGCTCTATGTCGAACTAAATGGCTTCGTGGTGTGGACGGGTGCAGGGTTAATTCGATATAACGGCGCTAAATTCGACATAAAAGCCTAGTGTAGACCAGGCCTAAGCATTACTAAAGACCCTGTTACTGTAGTGTCTAGGCACTGGATGTTACACTGAAGCATCTGTAGCTGGAACTGGTTCTAAGTCCTCTATCAGCAGCATTCCCTGTACCCTAAGACTCACTTTTATTTTTCTTTCTTATTTCTCTCCCTTTATTTTTTTAAGGGAGGTGGTTGCTACACATGCCTGATTCTGTTTTCTATTTTCTTGTTTAAACATATGACATATTTATCTTGCAAGGCACCAAAAATACCAAACCTATTTGTAGGAAAGTATACTTAAATATGCACTTTTCAAATACCTACAGGCCTGGCTTCCAAAACAGTATGTTTTATTATGGAGGCACTGGTTGCACCCATAACATTTAAGGTTGCACTGACTTTTGCTCTTAAAGCAGGGATTCAAACTCTTCATTATATATGAAGAATACAATGTATCCCCCTAAACATACAATACGTAAGCTTTGAGTAGAGAATGAAGTTTCTGAAATGTAAAATTTAACTGTATCAACATATTTTAAATTGTGATAATATTTCGTAAGAACAATCGCTAGGGAACTTTACCTTAAATACAGATAGATTTGGTCATCATTCTTAAGATCAAATATTCTTTCCCTCTATTTGACTGAGGGAGCAATCAAGTGTTTCAATGAATTGCATGCTGGCTTCAAAAATTCTCTGATGTGTAATCCATTTTACTGTTTTGTATTAGGTATAAATTAAAAGACAAAATACCTGCATTACCTTAAATAATCTAGAGAAATGTATTTCAAAAAGTATCTTGAGTCAAAAAGTAGCAAATCAATGTATGTATTTTCCATATTTGTATAGTTTTCATTATATTTTTGATCTGTTACTCTCAAGTCTCTTTCATATTTAAAAAATGAACTACACACCTATCATGCAAGATGTAAAGAAGTATGTTCAACTAGTTCAAATTAGATATACAGTAAAAATACACTTCCAAAGAAATATCATTTCCATTTTTGTTCATGTTTTTAACAGAATTTCAGACTAGTACATCAAATGTGGAACTGTACAAGTATGTGAAGAAACATTAGGATTGCAGTAGTAAAAAAATGTACAGCATTCAAAACCAACAAGCTCTAAACAACTGAACAATACCACAGGATTGAAACAATCATGGGGACAACATAGGTCATTGGAGACAGTGAGTGAATCCGAATGTCCCTACATAAAGGCCCTATATAGAATATTGTATCTTACTTATATGCAAAATCCCTGATTTGATTAAACCAGACAATTGATTTAATTGCCTGTTTTAGGTTTTAGATAATAGAAACACGAGATTATTCCCCTCCATAAATCTCAGTTATTGAAAAGGCAATATTGAGAACTGATTTCAAAGATGTGGATTCAGGTAGTTAAAACAAAAGATCAAAACAAGAAAATACCAACAACAACCAGCACCTCTCTTCAAATTGTCAACAGCTACGTTTTGCTGCATTAATATTGAATTTAATAGTAAGTTTTTGAAAACCATTTTGTTTACATAGGAATACACAGGTTTTTATTTATGGCCTGTATCCTTTTCATATTGGACCAACATTGCCTTTTAAATCAAGAAAAGATCCAACTAAACCATTTAACAAAAATAAAATTCCCAAGTTAATTGACAATAAACAAAACACCACATACAGCAGAATATCTGTGTGTGAACACCCTTTTCAAAAGGTAGAAGCATACTCTTTAACAATCCACTAACCAATATTATTTCCTTTTTAGACATCTTTGCTATGGGGTATCTAGTAAAGTTTGCTAACTCAACCTGCAGGTTTTTTTTTAAAACGTGTATTTGTAACTGTGTACAAATTTAATGAATATGTTAAACTGTTTGTTTTTTAGGGATGGGAATACAACCCCCTTCACAAATCTTATCCAGTCATGATTTCCTATGGGGACTTTCTTGTTTCTCAGATTATTCATCTTTATTTACCAGAACTGAAGAGCAAGAAAGGTTAATAAATATCTTAAATACGTCAGGGTCCCAGGCTCACAGTCCTTGTGCACCCAGATCTCTCACTGACCTCAATGGGAATTTGGCATGCACAAGATCTGCAAGCTTTCAGCTGAGAAAGCTTTATAAATATAGCATTTTAAAAACCAAAACACTGTTTGCACGGAGCCTGGCCTAATGAATCATCTTCAGTACACTGAGAGGAGCAAAGAACGCGAATCTTAGCACTTATCTTGCTGCTAATTCGGAATAATCTTTTGCTGATTTCAATCCTATGGGAGCAACAGAGCAGTTTTTACTAAGTCAGCCACATATAACCTAACACATCTGACTGAAAAACCTTGCAACAAGATTGAAAAGAAACAACCTTATATATGGTACATACAGCTCAAAGTCTGCATTAAATAAACCATTGGGAAAATAGCATACAGCATTCTAACTCAAATGTAAACCTTGCTGAGGTATACTTATTTTTTCCTTAAAGAATGAAAGACTAGCTTTCAAAAAAAGGGAGAAAGAGCTCACAGCACAAATGATATTCAGATCTCACAACTGGAGAAGGAATTAAATTAAATTGAACAGGTCCATTATGGTTTAAGGAATAGCCATTTTTATCAGTATCCATAACAATATATTCTTACCTGCTTTTTTATACCTTCAAACCATTAAAAAAGGCCATATATGTTTGTGAAACATAGTTTTGTCTCAATGTTATCTGCCAATGTTTTAAATTAATCTAACAAATACTTTTTCTTTGTTTCTAGGGGACAACATTACCCAGTGTCTGTCTCAGAAATAGGTTGATCATGGCCACACTGCTTTCAAATGCCTGGCTTGCCCTCTCCACAAAATAGGACAGACACCTTTGGTTGCATAAAAGCAATATTTCTTTCCTTTTCAATGTTAACTGAAGTTAAATTGAGTTTCAGCAACAAAATTAAGCAGTATGTTTGTGTAAATTTTAATGTTCAATAACAATTTTTAGTTTCAACTAACAATTATTTATTTCTCTATAACGAAAATATCTAGACCCTGTTATACAAATTGGATTTTTCACCCATATATTTAGGAATCAGGAGGCAGATGTGTATCGTAGTTAGAGTTTACTCTAAGCAGATACTGTATTTGATGTGCAATTTTCTAATCAATTTAAATACAGTCAGCCTACCTGCACGGTGAAATTAATGCTAAATGTAACTGCAGCTGTTACCAAGTAGTTTCCACAAGTGGTTTTATTACTGGTTAGATTTTACAAATTCTGATATTCAAACAGACTTTCACCTTAAAATTCTAAAACAACAAAGCAACCAATAAAGGGCATAGGACTATTCAAAGTAACAAACTCTTGTAACATTTTTGCCCTTGTTATAAATATACAGAGAGAAAAAGAGAAAAATGGACATGTAATCCAAAGTACGTAGATAAAACAGTATATAAGGCACATGGCAGTCTTTGAAAATTACAGAAGCTTTAGCCAACTTAAATTAATTGCTGTTTCCCTTACTCAGTCCACAAAACTGTACAGTTACACAAATGTTGTGTTGCAGATAGATCTTCCAAGTTATTCCTCAGTCCATAATCTGTAATATCAGAACAATACATTTCCTTCTGTTTTCAGGAGAGATCCTAAGTGTGGTTAGTCAGTTGCTCAAAGCCTCTATTAAAATACTCTTGGAATTCAACTAAGAATAATTTCTTTTTTAAAGAAATTATTGAGAAAGAGTCATCAGAAAAGATTTGTGAGAGTTGTCTGTGAAGGACTTCGAGATTCATGAACCTCAAGACTTCCGGGTACTGACGTCAAGACAGATGTCACAGTAGGCATGGTAGGATTAGTCAAGTCTGTTAAGGTAGTGGGAGTGCTGGATGGACTCATGGAGGCATTGGATATTTCTGAGGCGGGTCCTGACGGGGTTCCTGCTTGGAGTGTGGAATCTGAAGTCTTATCCACCCCTGTGTTTTCTTGACGTAAGAGGTTCCGTCTGAATTTGGCTCGGGCGTTTTGAAACCAAACCTGAAATATTTTAATATAATAGGGTAGCATTTAAAAAACAGCATTTTTTTAGAAAAGCAAAAGACACAAATTCAATACAGCCTCAATTGGGTGTATTCTTGTATTGACTGCATGTAGGTGGAACAGCTCACTTTGCTACAGTAACTCCACAGGTTGTGTCCAGTTGTGTGAAGTGTTCTCTACTTAGCATGTAAAGCATTTCTGTCTGCCTTTCCCACATTTCTCTAAGTAAATAGAGTGTGCACTGGGATATGAAGAGAACTGAGGATGAAGGAGAGGAATCTTGCTCTCCAGGCAATGGAGAAAACAGTCTTAGGGCTTCAGTAGCCGCTGTGGTTCATGCAACTACCCCCAGCTCCTGAGAAGTATTTGTCAGGATGGGGGCGGAACTGACGAGACGATGTGTATAATCTTGGATCCACCAGCCCCAGCCATTTTTTGGTCCATCCCTCCTCCCATCATGCACTGCAAAGGATATAGATCCTATGCATGACATCCTGCTCTTCCCCTCTCCCTAAACAGCTCCTCTACAGCTCCAGAGGTAGCAGAACTTTCCCCTCTCTCTAAAAGATTTGACACTCTTTCTCCATAAAGCCTTAAATAATAATAATAAAATAATATATGGAGATATACCTATTTCATAGAACTGGAAGGGACCTCAAAAGGTCATGGAGTCCAGCCCACTGCCTTCATTAGCAGGACCAAGTACTGATTTTGCCCCAGATCCCTAAGGGGCCCCCTCAAGGATTGAACTCACAACCATGGGTTTAGCAGGCCAATGCTCAAACCACTGAGCTATAGCTATATAAAGGGCTCAATGACCTTTTGGGATCCCTTCCAGTTCTAGGAGATAGGTATATCTCCATGTATTATTAAGCCTTCCTCTCTCCTCCCCACCCTCACCCCAAAAGTGTTTTTGCTTCACTCCCCGCCCCAGTCTCTCTGTAGAATGTTTTCTCATACTTGTTGTGAAGGTATACAAAACAATTTGTATTGTACTAAAACATAATTTTAGAAGTAACAAAATCAGTGTGCAAAATGTATATTTATCTGTATGTAACTAGAACTATATTTATCTCCTGTATTGTCTAGCTATTATCTCGCTCTCTATGACTGAGAGACAAAAGCGGCAAAGTTCATCTCCTAAGGCTAAATTGCCAAGGCTTCTCTCCGAAGGTAATGGTGCCTGTCCCATACCTATAGGGCTAGTTTTAAAATAAAATACTCTGCTAGTTTATCTCAAATTAAATATCAGTAAAAATATATTAAACCCCAAGAATATTTCTATCAAATCCAGATACAGAGACATATCTCTATTAAATTTCAAAATGGCATTAAAAGTCCTGTGCTCACGCTGATGCAGGCAGATACCGACCTTTTAATACCAGACACTCAGACATTACAGGGATAATATATCCCCTGGCTCTGATCTTACAAAGTGATGCCCGACTATTTAGGTATCACCGGGTCTCAAGTCATTGTGTTGTATCACCTTTAACTGACCCAGTCCTGCTCTCACTGAGCTCACACTGACTTATTTCAGTGTGAGCAGCATCAGTCCCTGTCAGTTTAGGTGCCGAAGGCCTTATCGTTCTTTCTGCAGGAAGTCCCACAGAAGGGGGCTAAGAGAGAGGAGATATCGGTGAGGGTCTCCTATGACAACTTTCTGCCAGATGGTCTGTTGTGGAAGAGGGGGTGTGCAGAGCCCAAGGGACCAGAAGGAAGACAGAGCCATCCACACAGAAGTCTTGTGTGTCCCCCCAACTCCCTAACAGTATGGTCCTGCTGCAACTTGGGCAGCCCTGGGAATTCCCTTTGAGTGGGATCCCCACCACACAGAGGAGGAGAGTGAGGTGTAAAGATAACACAGTCCTGGGACGATGCATGTGCCCCAGTCTTCCCACTCCCTCCCCTGGCCAGTCTATTTCCCATTTATGGATCCCCAGAACCAAACACCCTCTGTGGGGTCCGGGGAAAGAGGGGATGCTGTTGCAGACCCTCCTTTCTTTGGGGAAAGGGGGAAATCCATGTGAAGAAGGGTTTAGGTATGAACTCCAAGGAGTGGAGTTAAGGACAGATGGGCAGCTTGAACATAAAAAATTCCCTTTATCCTCATGTGCAACTCCTACTAATGTCTTCTAGAGTGGTACACATAGACCAAGGGTAATATATGCAGGGCCGCCCAGAGGATTCAGGGGGCCTGGGGCAAAGCAATTTCAGGGGCCCCTTCCATAAAAAAAAGTTGAAATACTATAGAATACTATATTCTCGTGGGGGGCCCTGTGGGGCCCAGGGCCTGGGGAAAATTGCCCCACTTGCCCCCCCCTCTGGGCAGCCCTGAGTATATGTCCATTTGTGTCCTTGCTTGTGCAGATTAGTGTTTTTAATAGTTTATGTTGGCATTCCCCTTGTTTAAAGGGACACTGTCAAGTAGTTTAGGCTCCATGCATAGGTTTGTTATATTACAATCAGAAAAAAAAACTATCCCAAAAATTAATATTAGCACTAACTTTTTTAGGGTTCTTTAAAGATGTCAGATGTATTAACAATGGAAAGTGGGTTTTGGCTTAAACCTTCACCTGCAATGTCTGCCATTCCTGGGCCCTGATTCTGCAATCAGATCCATGTAAGCAGAGCTGTGAGGCTCTGTAAAGAGTGCAAGGGTCTGTCTGCGTGGTTCCAGCTGAAGGACCAGGAACCATGTGTGCAAAGAATAAAGGTGAAACAGATTAATCTATTTTGATTATTCAAGCTGAGAGTATGTAAAAAACAGCCATCAGAAATGACGAAAAGTACATTGGGAATTTTGAAATCCGTTTTTTTTTTCATTTTAAATAATATAAATTATTTGTAGTACAAGTATGGGAATTTTTATTTTCAAATATATATAATCTGACAATGTCCCTTTAACAGCAGGAAAAAAGGGTAATAAAAAGTTTAAAGAATTGCCCATTGTTGTCAAGGCTGAATAACTCAATCATTTATTAATGAAAATAAAATAAAACAGACAAAGTCACCATTTCACTAGTTCCAATCATGTGCACGTCCCCCCCTGACTTCATCTGGATATTTGCGAGAAACATACTTGCACATAGGGAAGAGGGGCAAGCCCCACATGCTAGCAAAATTTCAGTTTCTAAACATGAAGCAATTTGCAGGTTAAAACAAATTATAAAATTTCTGAAGACATTAGAACAACTTTGATCTCCCACGCTACTCCTAAAGCCCAATGGATCCTTAACTGCGATGCTGCTAAAAAACCCCACTATGGTGTCTCTAAATGTCTAATTTTGTATATAAGTTAGTGATTTGGAAGAGAGAGAGGGTCAAACCTCTTAGTTTGCATGTATTTCCCTCCATCTTCCAAAGTCATTAAACACTCGTAACCAAATCCTACCTTCAGCTGCCCAGGCAGCTACCTGTGAATGCTACCAATGGGAGCTGCACACACATGGAAAGATTTTGACAGGGTGCATTTTCCTTTTAATATGACTCATTCCTATTAGCATTATGGGTAAAATATACCCCAACATCTTATAGGTGCTGTCTAAAAACAGGGATAATTCCTAACTCACTCCCTCTCCAGAGTGTTGCAGGGTTAACTGGTTAATGCTTGTAATGTGCTTTAGGGATGCACAATGACGAGTATTAATATTGCTACTTAAAAAGCTTCTAGATATTGACTGTACTGAGATTCTGAAAAATATTTAGCCTTGTGTCAGAAAAGAATAGCCTAAAACAGCTACCCCCAACACATTGTATACGAGTCTGCCGTGTAGACTTACGATGTGAAATATTTTCAGCCAACGTTTTTACTCAAGGGAATTGAGAGAAGCAAAACTATTGTTTGTGTGAGCTGTTGGTAATATGGGCCTGCCTTGCAGTATGTGTCATCATTTATATCTCTGCAGATAGGATGTAAAAGGCTACCAAATCAGAATTCTCCACTCAGCACAGCGGTGGTACTGTTTTAAGCCCACTTTGCAGGTTCAGGCCCTGTACCAGTAACAGTGCTACATTAACACAAGGAAACAATAACACAACTGTACATAATAGTTCCAGAAGGGCTCATCTCACATCAGTTAGATAATTAGGAATCTGGTCTTCAGTATTTAGGAATAAATAAATAAATAAAATCACAACAGTGTGGGAAATGTTTAATGTCTTTTTGTTAAAATGCATCATTAAAGGTCTGAACTACATAAACCAAAACTACCACTGAAAAACAGAATCAGCTGTAAGTCAACCACTAATAATACTAGATTTGAGTTAATGGTATTGAATAGCTATGGATGGACTGCTAAGCAGGATTATCCAGTGGTTGGGGCACTAGGCTAGGGCTAGGGAGACCTACGTTTAAGTTGCTGCTTTCCACAGACTTCCTTGAACAAGTCACTTAGCCTCTCTGTGTACATTTCCATATCACATTCTTTGTCATATAATCTTGACAGTGTGTTAAAGAGATCCTGAATATTACGGGCAAAATCCTGTTCTTACCTGGGGGAGCAGCATAGAACAGGGTTACTTGCTGCTCCTCTGAATAGCATGCATTCTAAGCTATTGGGAAGAGAGGAGGTAGCTGGACAGACCTCTACCAAGCAGATTACATCTCCTTGAGACTATAGATGGAATGGGCCAGCTCATTTGCCAGTCCTCCTCTAGCACTCTTTTGTCTCTATGAAGGATCTTACCCCGCTACTTGCAGGGAGAAAAGAATCCTTTTCTATCTTCTCCCCTACCCCTTCTGCACTATGCAACAAAGGGCAGAATCTAGGCCCTAAAAAGGAACATTTTGTGCCATTTATCAGAATTTCCTCCTGAGAGGCTCCTTTCCTCATATCACCTGCAGAAGGTGTTAGATGCAAAGAGCTGTGGGGTTTTTCCCCCTCTTCTTCTTTGCTGGGGAATGAACCTAAAGGAAAGTTGTTGAATTTCAATCAACTCGTTCACATGCTCTCACTGTCTGACATGCATTAGGTATGTGAATGGACTTGTAGATCAAAAGGTTAAAAAATAAATAAAAACAAACAGAAATAGCGGAAATTTATGGAAAAAAGTTTAACATAATTCTGATTTAGATACTTCTGGGAAATAGTCTGTGCATTGCCAAACTGCATCAGGAACAATCATTTAGAGAGTAGTATATACGCGTTCCCCTGCCCACTACTGCTGGCCATGGATGATTGATGACTCACTACAGACTAAGCCAAGCTCAAAGTCAGGTCTTCCAAGTGTGACATCACAGACGCTGAAGAATCTGGCCAAATATTCCACTCGTCGATCAGCATACCCACCCCTAATACGTATTCATGGGACTGATGTCCATACAGTAAAAGGACTATGGCCAACTCCTGGTACACTGGAAACTACACTATGTATGCTTAGGATGCTCACCAGTTTCATTACAAGTGTCACAAGGCTTAGAGACAGCTGTTTCTCTGTTCATCAACTGTAGGCAGGCTTATATAGAGTTTCTATTAAAAATTATGTATAAAGAAAGAGAAAGATGTTGAAGGCAAAAACATTGTCCTTGGCCAAATCAGCACAGACCTAATCTTGCAGAAAAGAAGGTAAGTTTACAGACATGCCTGGCAATAACACAGGCAATGTTTGGAATTTAATACTACTGGAACATGTCCATGTATGGCTGAGAGTCCATGTGTCTTCAGTACAAAAGACAGACGAAATCTAATGTTGCATGGCTTAGCTCAGTAGTATTAGTGAATGGCTTTGAGTTCAATAAATGACACGGACTGGATAGCAAACTTTTCAATTTAAAAGAATTCATGAACAGCACTGTGCCAGGAGCCAACAAGCATGACGAGACTTCCCCAGCAAAGAGCCACCTTGCAATTACTGTAAGTGAACTTTCAAGTTTGAAAATCATCTCCATGGCCACAGAAATCTAGCTTGCTTCCTCTCACTGGTCAGTTAAAGTGCAAATTGGACACAGAGGCTCTAAAACCGTGATCTATGCAAGCCAAAAAGAAAGTGTTTTCATGGCCCACATTAATTTCCAACATATAACTTGGAAGGGTGGATTAGGGCAATTCCACCACAGGCAGAAGAGGCCATAAGCATGGCTGTAGTAGGCAAAGTGTCACTCTGAATCACTTTCTGGAAACACTACTCTATTATTTCCCGTGGTCCTACAGGTCCAATCATCTCCTCCTTATTGTCCACCTCCCACAGTGCTGCAGGCAAAGCAAACCAGATATACCACTGTGGGAGCAAGATGACTGATTCTCCAATAACTTTAGCAAGCTCATAAAGAAGCTGAATGGAACTGCAGGGGGCTGGACAGGATGAAAAGAAGGGAAAACATTCAGCACCCAGAAATTTCAGTGTTTAAGTGTGTAAGACAGGGGTAGAAGGAATAGAGCAAGAGCAAAGAACCAATGATAGAGGGATGTTGAAGTGGGGGCAGTCACAGAGTAAGAGGGTTGGAGAGGGAGAACTAGGGTGTAAGAGGGAAGGAAGAAATGGGAAGAATAAAGTGGGAGGGGAAATGAAGGGCAGAGTATGAGCAGAGAAAAGAAAGGAGAAGGATAAATGCTAAGACTGATGCAGCTGGGATGGGATGAGAGAACAGAAAGATGGTGAGAGAGAGAGAGACAGTAATGGCATATGTGACTCATGTTGCTTGATGCACTATAGGAAGGCACTCAGAGAGCTCTGTGATAGGTGAAGTTCAAGGAATAGAGAGGAGATGATTAAAGTGAATCAAAGTGTGGGGAAAAAGAAGAAGAGAGAAAAGGAAAAGAGAAGCCAGAGAAACAGGAAGAGGCAGAAGGAACATGGAAACATGCAGAAAATCCTTTCTTGCACAAGCAATAGCTCTTGTCAGGCACATATGGGAGCAGCTGCTGCAAGAGGCACCGATTCAGGCATTAATAAGTGTAGGGACTAGCAGGGTAGGTATCTGTCCCACTGCGCTGAGGTAGGGCCATAAAAACAAACAATGTCAAACAGCAGGAAAGATGTGCAAGAGAAGGAGTCACAGTAATTTTGTCATTACAGTTTTTTCCAGAGGAACCCCAACCTCCGCTCCTTTTTCTCTCTATCCATCTATCACCACAAGATCTAGGTTTACTCCAGCAAACTTATCTTTTCTCTTAGCTTTCTCCACCCATCCCCCATTTCACTGTGAATTTGCCACGGTGCTAGTGTTTCCCCATAGTTCCCTGTCAGGTTTTGTCACTGTACCCCATTTGGTTCCTAGAAAGTCTCCAACCCATTTCCCCACAAACCCCACTCAGGCTCTTGTTTACACTATTTCAATAGGAGGGTCTAGCGCACCTGAATTCCCAAATTTACCTCTGGCTAAAAAGTCATTTTGGATAAGAGCCCACCAAATCCAATTTGGTGTAGCACAGAGTATAGATTTAGATGGAGCTGAAGGATCCAACATTCCCATCTTTTGCTTCCCATAAAAATTCAGAGGGAACAAGTGCCTTTGGGCCAAGAAAAATCCAGCATGCAATGGAAAAATGTCTTTAAAAATGCCTTCACCCCTTGGTTCTAAATTACAAAACTATGAATGAGAAATTAACGTGTTTTAATCTTTGAAAAATCTATCTATTATTCACTTCAGCTACAAAGCCAAGATGTCCGATCTGTCCTGACTGACAAAATAGATCAATATTTCTGTTTAATTTCTTATGCAATTATTCATTCAGAGTGACTTCTAAACTTCTATACTGTTATTTACCTAGAAAAGGAATATGACAGCTAAAATCATTCCCCTCTCCTTAAAAGCATACTGCAGGAAAAATGCCTGGCAGATGTAACTAACTGTTTGATAAAAATAAGCAAGACACCTAATTTACACAACTGTGCTCTAAAAATTAGAACCCAAGATATATTCCTCTGCTAGGCTGTAAAGAAATGGCTTTTCTCGTACTCTCTGGGATTACTTTACGTGTCACAGGGGGTACCAACAAATAAGAAAAATTTGGACATTAGCAATATGTGGAGGTATTATCCACAGTGTTTCAACTGAGGCTTGTCAAACATGAGATCGATATTTTATTTACTGCTAGAGACAGAAGTCTTTGCTCTTCTTACCTGAAGAACTCTTTTGGTTAGGCCAGTTTTCTGAGCTAGCTGTTTCAAGTCCTTGGCATCAGGATTGTGGTTAATAGCAAAATAAGACTTCATTGTCCGCAGCTGGTGGTGTTTGAATGATGTCCTCATGCGCTTTGTTTTTTGATTACTGGGGTATTGCTGGTCTCTATCCAGGTGGTCACCATCGTTTTCATTGCAACTTAAAGCTAAAGACAACAAGAAGGAAACGGTTGTGTAAATCCATCACTCTGTGACCAACATTGTTTGGAAATCATCTGAGTGCAGCGATTAAAAGAACATACTATGGCATGTATTGTAATGATAGAAACCCTACTTGCCTTCCCCTCCATTCCTGCATCCTTCTATTCTTCCCTTACAATAACTAGTCTGCAAGAATCCTCATCTGCATGTTTACTGCTTTTAAAATGTCAGGTCTCTTTCCTTTTTTCTTTTCTCCATCTCCACACATCCATTCCATGACTTTCTGTCTGCAGGACAGTAGCTGTCCTCAACTCTGTAAAGTGTTTTAATGCACTTTGTATCACCATAAATTGCATTGTACTGTACACAGAAAGCTCCTAAATAGAGTCCACTTAAATCTTGATGGAACAGACTAGTTAAAATTATAATTATTTCCTCCATCAAACTAAACCCTGTAGAATACAAGAGAGACCCATTAAATAAAACACTATTAAAGGAGTAAAGTTTGTGTACCAGACAGAAAATTACAACTATAATTTGACTGGTTAAATAAATAAGCCTGTTAAAATATGTCAGTAGTGTGCCAAATCAAAAATATACATTTTAAAAACTATTCTCTGTATATTTATATTTCATTAAAAACAAATTCTCTTTAAAAATAGTGGTTCAAAGAATCAATTTTCCATGTATCCATTTGAGATAATTTAACAAGACTGCCCGATAGATCTGAAAAAATCAGTAACAAGTCTCGCAAAGAATGTTTAGAAGTAAAGGAACATTACAATAATTACCAAATAGTACTAAAAGTTGCACGCCAAGCAAAATATTCTCATAAGCCAAAGGTATTATTTTGATTTTATACATGCATACAGTAAACCACAAAAAATCCTCTTAAAATAACATTAAGGATCAAGACTAAACCCATGAGAAAATTCAGTGATACGTCTAGAAATCTGTTCTGACATTTTGTCATTAATTTACCCCTCTGTGCTCAGGTATCCGCAACCCCCCTTTTCAGTTTTTTAAAAAAGTTTTGTGTTAAAAAGGGGGAAAATCCCTGTAATCTTCATTTTACACTCTCCCTTGATAATTATTCATCCACTCTACCAAAAGGGCTTAAAAAAAAAAAAACGGATAAATATGTATCTTGGGAGCTGTAAAATGTGAATTATTGATCCAGCTGTCCAAACATCTACACACAGGTTTTTAAAATAGTCCATCATTACTGATCCAATACAATGGAATGTAACAGATAGGTATGGCCTTATTTCAAATACAAATTATTTATCCAATTGGAACTGTTCAGCTCCATAGAATAAATATGAACTTTAAAAATCAGGTGTGGAAACGAATTTAACAAAATGTTCATAATATGCATGTGTGTCTTTTATACCAATAATAATAAATATATTCAAACATTATAGAAAGCAATTAGTCAGCATATACAGTGATTGCTTTGCAAACTTCAGCATTTCAGAGACTTTTTAAAGGCCAGGACACATTATGGAGTAAGGCCTGAAACATTTCAGTTTGAAAAACAAAGGCATGTAAGTCTCACAGACATGTAAAAAGCATCTGAAACCTCAAAACTTCTCTCACTGTTTTTTAGACTCCTATAATTTAAATAACTAGCCATAGATCTATATCTATATATATAAATCCTTTCCAGGCTAACCTCATGCCAAGTTTCAGCAATGAGGGGCATTTTTTCTGCTGAGTTTTAAACTTGGTTTTCTCATGGAAAAACTGACAGCACCTGAATTTGAGGGGGAAAAGGAGACACAAAAGGGGACAGCAGAATGCTGCATTTATTAAGCTGAATGGAAAACTTCAGAATCTTCTTCTGGCTTGGTTGGTTACTGAAGTCTGGTTGCCAAACATGTAGTCACCCTATGTACTTCAGTCTCCCTCATAGTTACATTCTCCTCCTCAAATGATGCTGGGAAGAAGATTATCTAAAACTATATTGCTCAGGGAAATTGGTGCTATGAAAAAGAGGTAAGATAATACATTATTTATTATTGTTGTTTAAAGATATTCACTCAGAATTGTAGAAATTCACTCATAGAAATTAGAGATGGAAAAGACCCATGAGCATCATCCTAAATCTTTTCTAATCCTCCCAGAGGTGACAAGTCAGTGATTGATTATGAAAAACATCAAATTATTTTCTGAAGAACCAAAACCTGTTTTCCTTTCATTGCAAATATATATAACTTGTTTCTTATAATTTACTTCCCTACCTCTCTTCTCCCTACTCATCCAGTCCCCAAATAAAATAAAAACAAAAATGTCCCATTTGAGGCCTGCAGAACTATTGTCTCCTCTTAAAAAAGGAACTGGCACAACAGAATTTAAAAGTGCCTGGGGGTGGCTGCTGCTCACTCTTGTTATGCCAGCTGGATGGATACCCCTCTCAAGCTTAGCCTGAGATAAAGATTTCTGATTAGTGCCAGTAGCCATTCATATTGGGGTGTGGTACTTAGGATTCCATCTTTAAATCAGTCTACTGTATTATTATTCGTGACTCTCCCAGAATCTGGATTCCCTCCCAGGGTGTGGGTCAAAAGATACTCAGTGGGCAGAGGGGAATTTTCATGGGGACGGGGAGAGCAGGGGGTCTCCTATAGAATACCTCAGTGCAAAGAAATAATCCTGTAGATGCTCCCTATGTACCCCCTCTCCTTTTCAGACACTTTTGCTCCTGTTCTTTGTGTGCCATCCCTGTGTATCTCACAGAGGATCTGTTAGACAATCCAAATTCCAGGTTTCCTCTCAACTGCAGGCTGAGGGCTTCCTGCCATGAGACAAGTTCAGAAATGGAATTCAGTGAAATGCCAGTCAAATGGGAAAGCTTAAATGAATGAGACTAGTGCTTGGTTCCCACTTTGGGGATCAAAGAAACCCAGATGGGCACTGAGTCCCTTTTTAGCACACTGAGCCCAAGCTATCCACTGTGCCCTCCCTCCCAGAGCCTCCACCAGCCACCGAACCACATTCATGCTGGCCATCATATCCCCTTCCCTATGGATCTCTGGCTGGCCACTCTGAGTAATGACTCGTCCTACACTCCCCCCATTAAAAACACTGTACAAAAATCAGCTCAGGCAGTATCACCAGCAATTTGAGCCTGACAATCTATGCCAAAAACATTGGAATTTGGTGCTAAGGAACAGAATGTACTCCACATATTAATGCAGCAAACTGCCTGGTAAAAGGATGACAGGGAACAAAGAAATAAGGTATTGTTATTATAAACTATATTTGGGAAGAAAACACAGAAAGATCTTTCTTATGCCAACCTGGTCCTTGGATCCTACCAGCTGGGGTTCAAAACAAACCTTGCACTAATGTTCAATGTGCTGCTGGATGCAAGGGGCAGAAGCGCTTCCTTTGGGGAAATTTTATCTTTACTTTATGTTTGACATGTTAAATCACCAAAAGGAAAAAGCAAACCAAATCTTGATGTCAAGAGAATGATGCCATAAGAGACATATGGTGGAGACATCAGCTCTCCACTCCCAGTGGCTCAGTGACCTGCACCTTTTCCCACCTGGAAGAACAGGTAGGGAGAGCAGCACTGTTTGTTGTTTGAGGTAGGTCTGTGAAAGGGTTTTGTATCTTTGGGGGGGGGGGGTAAAAAGATGAGAATCCTTCACTGACTCATATCACCTGGGATATAGAGTGGGTTGGATCTCTCTCTGAACAAGGGGGCGGGGGGACGACTCTTGGGTCCTTAATAGCAAGTGGAACAAAAAGGGGGATTTTGGAACAAAAAGGGGGATTCTGTGCTCGGGAGGAGGAATCTGGGGCACCTGGAACAGGGAGTGTGTCCCCCTCCCCAGGTCTGTGTGCAGGGAGTAGGGGGAGACCACACCTGTGAGGTTTCAGAGTAGGGGACCCAGGAGCTTCCTCCTCAGTCTTGAAATCTCAAGCAGCGCTTTTGGGAATACAGGAGATAGGGGATGTCCTGGGGGCAGGGGAGATTACATAGAGCGGAGCTCCCTTTTTATCCCTACCGCAACCTTCCAGCTAGAAAGAAAGCTCAGGGCTCTGTCTGGGTCACATTCCCTCACAGTCTCGCTTGGCGAAACAATCCCAGGATCCCTCCCTAGACCTCAGAAGCAGAACTGTGAACAAGACTGTGGCAGATGCAAGGGCAGGGACGGGATCTTATCCCTCCTCCTACCAGAACCAAAGGGCACCTCGTGCGGTCTCGGTGCAAACCCCAGTGAATTGCAACCTGTGTGACTCCTCTAGGGGGAGAAAGAGGCTCAAGATCGGAGTAGCTGCCGGACTGGCTGTATGTCGGGGGAAAGAGAGGGAGGAGCGGAGGGGACAGGCCTAAAATGGGGGGAGAGGAGAGAACAAAGGGGTCCTGAGGAGGGCGCAGAAGGGCCAGGACTACGGGGGGAAGGTTTCTATGGGGAGTAGAGGGGCCAGGCCTGCAAGAGGAGGGAGTGAGGGGTAGATCAGGGTCCCCGGTGTACGCGTGTGCCCGGGGTGCCCCAGCGGGGAGGAAGGGGGGATCTGAGCCCCCTGTGGGGGCTGCGGCGGGGGTGTCCGGGCCCGCCTCCTGGAGGGGCTGGCTCGGGAAGGTTTTTTTCCTCTCAATTAAGCCAATTGAATGAAGCTAAATTGCTGGTGCGAGCGCTCAGTAAGTCCCTGCGCTGGTGATTAACCCAGCCAGCCTCTCCCCAAGTCCAGCGCCAGGGCCAGGCTGGGGCTGCCAGAACCGGGGTCATGGGCTGGAGGCAAAGCAGAGTCCCTGCAGCGTCTCCCCTCCCCTTCCAGCGCTGACCTCCCTCTGTCCCCTCCCACCCAGACCTGGCCCCGGTGGGCGCACATGCAGCCCCGGGCCGCCCAGCCTGCCCCAGGCCCCTGGTAGCAGCGCAGGGGGGGACCCCCATTAGTAGGGGCTGGTTCGCTCTTCGCTGGGGCCACATTTGGTTTGGTCCCGTTCCCCTCCCAAGAGGCCTCCCTGGGAAATAGGCGCAGTTCAGCGGGAGCCGGGCGCGCAAGCCGCGCCCTTGCTCTCCAGCGGGCGCGCAGCAGGTCCCCAGCCCCCTCGGCTCCCAGTCCCTTTGGGGTCCCGGGGGAGATTCCTCATCCTTAGCTGTAATCTCCCGTTGGAGGGGCCCGCTTCAGGGATCGTGTCCCAGGTGCTCGCCCCAGCAAAGCAGGCTCCCCAAAGTTGTACCGGCAGTTACGTATTTGACAGATTTTTTTCGGACTAAATACGTAAAAAAAAAACCCCAAGCCACGCCTGAAAGTACGAAGCCCATCGGCCGGGGAGGAGAGTGTGATTTTTCTCACTAACGTCCTGGAAAACATTCGCGCTTGAGAATCTCCATTTTGTCTGGCTTTGTAATTTCAGTGGCAAGGAGAAATCTTTCTTTGATTTGTCATTTGTTCTTTGATTTTTGTGCAGAGGGAAGAAAAGCGATGGGCGAAAATAGAATAAAAGAGATCGAACAAATTATTCAAAAATTTTACCTGCTTTTTATTGTATTTGTTTGGTGGTTTATTTGTCTTTCCTGTGAAACTTTTGGCTGATACCAGAGAGAGCCTGCGCCAGAGACACTCCTAACTCCCCCGAACCTTGCTGGGGATTGGGGGGGGGGGGCAGGGGGCAGGGAGGTAGGAGCAAAAGACTATTTCGTTGCTGCCTGGATTCATCAGAACCCCTCGCAAGCTCTACATTTATTCTTTCAACGCTTGTTCGATAGTGAAAGGAAATAAACGAACTCGAGCGCTGCGGAAGTCCAACCAAAGCGAATCTAGGGATAACAGTTACTGCTTTAACCTAGCTCAAAAGCCTTTTCCGTTCTACATTACTAACAAAACAAACAGAAAAGAAAAAAAATGTCACAAGTGCACACCTTTCTCGGGACTAGCTGTCCTCTCCCATTGTTTCCCCAACCCGAGAGTTATGTCTGCGCTGTATATTTAACCACCCTCCTATTTCAGAGTAGCAGCCGTGTTAGTCTGTATCCGCAAAAAGAACAGGAGTACTTGTGGCACCTTAGAGACTAACAAATGTATTAGAGCATAAGCTTTCGTGGGCTACAGCCCACTTCTTCGGATGCATATAGATGCACCCTCCTATTGATAGACTTTATATCCTCCAGAGTCCAGCTAGTAAAGGAAGAAAATAGTTCTTAATGTGGGTCTTTGCTCTTCGCAAAGATTGTGCATTTTATCAGTCTGTGGGGCCCTCGGTATGCACGGTACATCTATCATTTCTAGGGATATTTTAGTGTCTTCGCGTTAAAGGGAGACTAGATATGAATGAATAAAATATTCCAGGCTGTGGGAGGTTCGGGGTCCAATTCACAAAGGGAGTATTTTATTCAGAATTCTTTACAGGTGCTCCTGTGTTCAGCAAGCTTTCAGCCATTGATTTACTGACCTAAAAACCCTCTCAAACTCCATTCCAACAAGTGAAAGAAAAAAATTATGATCATAGGAGCAAAAATAAAAAAAAAAAAAAAGAAGAAGAAGAAGAAGAAAGGGGAAAAAATCTTTTTGAAGTTCCGGCTTCCTTCTAAGCTCTTTTCCACTTGTCAGGCTCTATCCACATCTAAAATCCCTCAACCATTCCACCCCATTGCAAACTGGGTCTTGTTTGAGTGGGAAAAAAGAGTCAATCCAATTTATGCTACAGATGAAATAACTGCAGTTTAGTAAATAATTTATTTCTAAACTACGGTCAGGTTTTAGGTGTCTCTCCCCTCTCCTCCCCAAATTCATGTGTGTGGCTTTATTTTTAGAAGAATACGGTGTATTATACACAAACCCCAATTGGCAACAAAAAGAAAGAGGGGATGGCAAACATTGTTAATTTCTAGTGCATCTCTCAATGTGGGAAGCAGTCACACACACGTTAAAACATGTTTTCTTTTAAAACTTACTAAGTGTACACTTTGCAATCCGTTACTGTTTTATTTTAAATCAAAGGACAAAATGAGTAGATTTCCAGAACTTCCTTTATAATCACTTCAGTTAAGAGATTTTGTTTTAATCATAAAAAGGTTTAGCAAAAGAAGATAAAACCTTCCCAGGGAAGGTTGTTTAATCTGCAGTTTCACAGTCAAAGCAGAAATAAATAAAAAAAAACCGGAGAGTAATTATTTTGAAAAGGAATAAAAAATAATTGCAAATAAACGTGCCGAGTTTAAGAGCCAAGGAGCTATAATGTTTTTTTCTGCGCACCTATCCAGGACAGATGCTGATGGTTCGGTTTACTGGTCCTTTGAATCTGAACATCTGCCCTGCATAGGGAGACAGCGGAAGGACAATTTAGGCTAATACCTCCTAAAAGGATACAATTTTAAACGTGAAACTCGTGTTTTCTATATATTTTAAAGCTCGGAGTGAATCTGAGGAAAACGCCATATACACCTTTCAAAGCATAGAACTTTTCCTTCCCAAATCTCTCCAATGGCACTCCCATTGACTTGTGTACATTTCCCAAATTATACAGCAATCGAATTCCAGGTGGCAAACGGTTCCTGAAACCTGTTTTCCAGTTAGTTAAAGTTGCGCCTTTCCTCTTCGTTATTTTTAGGCCAAACAAGTAATTTTTGCGCATCCATCCCCATTGTTCCCATCCAAGTTGCGCGCAAAATAGGCGCAGCCTTAGCCACATCCTCCGCTCCCCCTGCCCCCGACTTTCAAAGAGCGCACAATCTACAGGGCTGGGAGATCACTAGCAGATGAGAAGATTTTCACAACGTCATACACTGCGCTGCAGTTTTTCTTGATTATTTTTTTCTATTGTTTCTAATATTGAGTAGTAGAAAGTAAAGCGCTGCCCAGAGCAGCATATTCCAGAGATTTACGAGAGAGGGAGTTTGTACCAAACAGCAGCAAACTGTACGTTTCCTGAGGGCCCCATCCCCCCAAAAAGTTCAAGGCAAAACTGCACCACACCCCCACCCCCAGGTCATGTACGAACGTCATACCAGACAGAATTACACTCTGCCAAGCAGGGCTGAAGGACTCAAGGAGCTGTGAAAAAGGGGCAGCACAACTGAAAAAACCCGGCAAATGCTGACTCTTCTTCAGGGTCTCCCCCTGTTTTACAAACATTTGCTGGACACTTGAACTAAGAGTTTACAGAGATTTGTGTCCAGAGAAAACCTTGTTCCCAACACATCTGCTGGAAACACTTCTAATAGAACGGAGATCTAAATCTTTTGCTCTGCATAAACCCTTTTCTATCTCTTCTTGGATCCACAAAAACAGGAAGATAAAAATAATTCTAACATTTCTGTTATATACAGGCTACAAATGATACATTATAAGAAGAGTAAAGGAAAGAAATAATTTTCTTTGATAGGATGGGCAGCCAATTGGAATTCCTGTGCCTGCAAAATTACAACACTGAGGTGAAGGGAAACAATCTGGGATACTAGCTATTGAAATTTAAAGAACTGGAGAGCCATGGGTTTTTGCAAAGACACAAGCTTGTCCCGGGACCCAGGTCTGTTCCTGCCACCCCTTGTCCTTGCTGCTGATCTCAAATTTGGAGTAGGGGGGTTGTAACTTGAGGCTAGTGCATGGTTAGAATAGTGATTTTTTTTTAGCTTTTTGAGACTTTTATAATTCACAGTTGATGAACAAAACTCCAAACTGGTCATCGGGCAAACAGTCCAGGGCTTGCCTGCAAACACCTGCTTTCTAAAGATAATTCCTCAGACCACCAGACTGCGCTATGCATGTGCCTAAACATAAAAACGCTGTACCCCCACGCCAGAGTTCCAGCACAGCCCCATCTCCCTTCCAGTTCAGTTCCCAGTGAAATCACCCCGTTGTTGGGTTTGGTTTTGTTTTTTACTCTCCTCTTTACCAAAGTCTTTGGTGCAAGAGCTCAAGAGTGGCAGAATAATTCACCCAACAGCAGCCTTTAAGAACTAACTACTAAAGGAAATTCACAGCTCTCTGAAGTGCTAATTTACAATCTCTGGTTTCCAGATTTTATTTCAAGCTACACTCGTCCCCTTTTCCCCCGCCCCCAACCAGATGACCTTGCTTCAAAACATTTTATTTCCAACTGAAGTGAAAAATGCTAACATATCAGCTTCCGTAATTGCAGTTTGACAGCACTTGAGCTCAATAATTATGCTGCAGCTAAACTATTATTAAGAGTTTAAGCTAAAATAAAGAGAATCTCCCCCCCCCCCCAAGGGGAACAGAAACAAACCATCAGCATTATTCTTGGCGGGGAGGGGTCTCTTACCTGCATTGTAAGCTGCCAAATCTGCCCCAGGCCCTGGGCTCTTCCTTTTCCTGGGTCTCCCCTTCTGGACAGTCCCCACGCCGTTGTAATAAGGCAGTCCCAAAGTATTGGCAGAGCCCGCTCCCAGCGCTGGGCCCTTCCCAGCGGCTACATCCGAGTGATTGAAATGCACCTGGTACTCCCCCTGGAGGAGAGTCTCGAAGTGGAGGCGGCAGTACACCAGATTGTCCTTCATGCCAAAGTGGTCGCCGGTGGTGAGCATCTTGTTGCAAGTGGTGCAAGTAAAGCAGTTTAAGTGATATACCAAATCCCTGGCCCTCATGACCATTTCGGAAGCGGAGATCCCCAAGTGACACCTCGCACATCTCTGCACCGAAAACCTCCTGCAGAACAGAACCGCGACAGGAAATAAATGAGAACCGCATTTCCCCTTTTTATCGCGGATCTCCTCCCCACCCCCCTTCTGCAAGTCTTCGGTAAAAGCTTAAAGATGTTTCTCTTCTCCGGCCAGAAGGCTTTATTCAGAGCAGGCTGGGCTCCAGACCGCGATCCCTGGATGAGCAAGGACCGGGGAACAAGGCAGTAAAGTTTGCAAAGTGGCCTTTGTCTTCCAGTGCTCTAAACTCTTAAGAGATTCAAGCCGTGGAAAGCCGTAAAACCAGCTATGGCCCTGCCAGACCAGTCCGAGGGGAGATACCCCTGCCTGGGTCCCTGGCTCAGGAGGACTCTGGTTTGCAGGGCATCCATTTCTGCTTCCCATCTAGCAACATTATTTTACACTCAACCTGCCACCCCGCCTCACTTCTGCAAGTCAAATGCAGCGAAATCCCCCCCCAGGGCCATGGGACAGCAGCGAAACTTGTCTGCTGTGGCTGCTCGGGAGACCCGAGACAGGAAGGGACTGGGTCTGACCTTCAGCTTGGGTGCCAGGGGAGAAATTCGGCATTTTCCAGCTCAAATCGCCCGGCACCATCACAGCCTTTTCATTGAAACCCAGCGTACTGAATGGAGAAATATCCTAAGGAATAACATTTCCCGCCCTTCTGTGAGTTACCCCAGAGCCTGCCACTCCATCCATCCTAGCTGGCGACGGGTGCTGAGACCCCCTCTCCAGGCTGGCTCCCTGCATCTGGGGCGCCAATCCGTACACAGTTTACCGGGGGGTGTGTGCCTGTGTGTATTTAAAGTAATGCTGGAGGCGCGTTAATTAATGATCATTATTACTATTCTTTTAATACTATTTGCCAAGGGCTGAGAAGAAAGCGAAGTTGTATTTCTCCTTAGTTGGTTCGTTTTACTTCAAAGAGTGCAGGAAACCGAGGGGGGGCACGTGTTCCAAGCCTGGGTGGGGTTCGTGCCCCGATATTGGCCCATTCCCCCCAAAGACTGCAGCCTGTCCTGCCTACCTCATTATCCCCCCTCTGGATGGAGACGCTTAGGGAGCCCATCTCCTGCCCCGCAGGGAGGGTCTGCCCAGTACCCCCCTTATGCAGTGTGCAGTGGGGTTGGGTTTGTTCTGTGGGTGGGTGGGTCTCAGAGCCCTCCCCCGCTCCCTGCACTGGGGGAGGGGCAGTCCGTACCTGTAATAATCCTCCTTGCAGTAGATGCTCCCGTCCTTGCTGAAGCAGGTGAGCTCGGACTCCAGGTTGAGTTTACATTCACAGCACTTCAGGCAGCGCATGTGCCACTGTTTATCCACTGCCAGGAGGTAATAACGGTCCGAGATCTTTCCCCCGCAGCCGGCGCACAGGGCAGCCCGGTCACTGCTGATGGAAGGCATGGTCTGCTAGGGGAAAACAATTACAGACAGTTAGTGACAGAGGGAGAAACCCTCCTGCACCACTAACCACCCCCCCTTCCCCTTCCTCCCCCAAGCCCAGTTACCATCAGGGCTGGGCTTCTCCTCTTCCACTCCAGGGGGCTTAACAGAGAGACCAGAGAAAAGGGAGCTCCGAGGAGTCCAGCCCCTGCCATCCTGACCTGCTTCTCCTGCCCTGGGAAAGGGAAGTTTCCTTAAGATTTCCAAGGCTTAAAATATCTGCCCCTATCCCAAGCGAAGGGACGTGGTTGTTGGCAGAGGGGATAGGATGCGAGAAGCACATATTACAGGGTGAGGGGAAGGCCATCCGGATTAAATCTAATAAATGGTATATATGAACTGGATCGGCTAGTCCCAGAGCAAACAAAAACCATGCTGCTCTGCAAACAAACAGTCACAATAATCATACAGCAGGCATATCGCAGACAGTTAATTTGAGATATCTATATCTGAATATCTATATAGTGGAGACACGGAGAGTGACTGTATAGGAAAGGCTTTGTGTATGTGTGTGTGTATATATATATATATTAAAATCCGCGTGAATTACAGATCCTGGCAGTTATCGAGTTATAGAAAGAGCTCTCTGCAAATTGATTCCAAACAAAATGTATTCCATCCCAAACCACTAAACAGATGAGTCAATAAAACTGCGGAGGAGATGAACATTACTAAATTCAAAGCGTAGAATGCTTTGTCAAGAATACTACATAGTCTGAAATGTGCCATCAAGAAAACGGGGAAAACCCGCAGCAGAGCATTTTAGGTTATGCCGGGATAAAGTTGGAAGCAATAAACTAAATGTAACCCCTATATAATTTAATAGTTTAGTGTCAGATCACAACCCAATCGAAAGTTCCTTTAAAAAAAATCTAATCAACTTCAACTAACTAGTGAGAAAATAATGGTGGAAACCATTTAAACCAAAAGGAAAACATCCTTATTTGTTTTATCCTAGATCTTAAAATAATATTCACGTGGAAAGATAAAATGCGAAGCACTATTCATGGCAGACCTTGCAGCTGGCTTTTGTACATTTCCCTCTTCGTTTGCTTTTAACATGGCACCTAAAACTCCCTATATATTTACTTATGGTGGGAAAAAACAGATCTGACGGATACAATTTTTGTTACCCATCCAGCACCTTAAACTGGTGCGCAATGCAAAAATAAAGAAGACAGCTAAAAGAGGAACAAGAGAATAGAGGGATAATGAAGGGAATGTCTTAATATACTAGAACTATCCAGTAGCCCAACCACACTTGTACAAGCCACATAAATCCTTTGCGAATAGCCCAAATGCCTATATTTCAATGAATCCACTCTCAGAATTTAGATTTAAATGGAAGTATAGCAATGTATGGTATGCTGTCCACACAGCTCCACTGTTTGTGTCTTTAAAGAGTTAACCGAACCCTGATTAGTGATCGTTTTATAAGCAAAAGCAGCTTCCTGTAAATACAGTTTAAATAAAACACTATTTTTCTGCTTTGTTCTTCCAGTGACATGAATATTTGGGGACCCAAGAACGGTGCTTAAGAAGTTAATAGTCTAAGCCCGTGTTTATAATATTTTACTTACACACACACACGCACACACACACACGGTGGCTTACATATATAAATGTCATAACAATTATGCCAAGAGAGATCAGTTGTCTAATTCAAACACTGTTTACCTGCGGGGGAAAAAGAAATCAAACTTTTCAAAAGAAAACTAAAAATATTTAGAGCATAAACCAGGTACGAAGGCTCTCTTTTATAGCCATCATTTCAGCCTTAAACATACTAATTGGCAGTTATTTTCTACACAATGCTGACAAAAATAATACAACATGGAAAACTTAAAAACAAATTCGGAAGGTTTTTTCGTGCACATGGCCATATCAGCTCTATAGGAAGAGGCATATTTGACCTAAATACGGATCTTTTTGCCTAGCAAGAGTTATCATTCCTATTTAATAAAAAAGTAGGAGATATACAAATGTTGAAGGAATTGAAAATCTCTTCGCTTGATTTGAAGTTAGCTTAAGACATTTAGAAGGAATACATTATTTTATTTAGAAGTATCTATTCAACTCCGTAAACGTAATACATAAATATTATAAATCACCAGATACAAAATGAGCCCTAGCAAAATATTTTAAAAGGAAAAAATTGTGTCTTCGTTCGTAACCTTTGAAATTCGTCTTCTCCTTTTGTCGCATTGTAGCGAGAACAGATTATATTTGTTATTAGTAGTAGCAGTGGTAGTAATAATAATAAGAATGGATTATAACATTGCAACTAGACGCGCAGTAGTGACTGCCTCAGTGTATTCATCCCATCTGGAAAAAACAGAGAGACAGAAATCCTTTGGTGTTTGTGTTTTTCATTTTGCAGACAGGATGCTGTCCCTTCTCCCTAAAACTGGCTACACCAAAACGTTAACTACATAAAAAAGCATGTCGCCCTCTTCCCCAAAACTTTAGGAGAAGGCCAGACAGGCTGTGGGCAGGGGAGGAGGAGGAATTCCTGGGCTCTTCCAAAAGGCTGCTGCTGCTTTATTCCTGTTCTCGCAAGGGCAGTGCCTTTCAGTTCATCCGTCCCTTACTATTATTATCAGGTACATGCATAGCCCCTAGATTTTATTTCACCGATTTTAGGTGCGTTTATGCTTATTTTTTTGTTCCTATTAGGCGTCTTAGTTATTCTTTTTGCCTACGTTTCCCCCTGTTTATTCTTGTTAAGGGAAAGCGTCGGTACCGTTATGGGTTCGTTATTTTTAGGGGGTCGAGGGGGTATGTGGCCCGCTCTCTCGCCTCCTACCGTTTCGGTCTCTCCCCTGTCTATAGCCGAGCTGATGGCTGGCGCTTCGCTCTTGGCTCTCCGGTCCATCTCATCGATGACCCCGTGCATCTCGGAGCCGGACAGGCTGTGGAAAAGCATCGCTGAGGAAGCGGAGGAGGAGGCCCCGAGTTGCGGCTGCAGCGGACAGTGGTCGGGGTCCCTGCAGGAGCCCAGCACTTGCATTAACCGGAGCCCTCCCCCATGCATCTAGCCCGGCCGCCCCGTCTCTCGTCGGGCTCCGGACGTGCCAGCCAGCGAAGCTCTCCGGAGCTCAGCGCAGGCTCCGGTCCGCGGGTTTCAGGGGGGCGGGGGGGCAGGGGAGGTTGGGGGGAGGGGGCAGGAGGGCTGTTGGTGTTGCCGGCTTCAGGGCTTGGAGCTAGTCAGTTGCGTGGCCCCGTCACGTCCCTCTAGGAGGCTTCTTCGGAGCAGGGCTCATCGCCCTCGGAGCAGTCCCGGGCACTCCGCCCCGGCCCGGCTGGGCAGGCTGGGGGCTGGGGGGTTAATATACAAAAATTAAGCCATCTTCTGTGCAAAACAAACTGGAAAATAACGGCGGCCCCCTACATTGCACCGTGCGAAGCCGAGGAGCAGACAGCCGGGAGCAGGGCAGGGGAGCCGCGGCAGGAGAGGCGCAGGCTGCGGGGAGCGGGGGCAGATGCCAACGCTGGGCACTCGGTCCAGAGGGCTAGCAGCGGGAGCAGCTCGGGGGCCAAGTTTGCTCCTTTCCCCGCTCCTCCCCCAACCTCCCGGTTCTCATTGGGGAAGGGAAGAGCCGGGGGGGTGAAGAGTGGGGCGGCCACCAATGGGGATGGGCACTCGGCAGCCCCCTGGACCATGCACCCCAGGGGCTGCTGGGCGCCCCGCTGGTCCCAGGAACATAAGTTTGTGGCGGCGCCGCGTGAGTAATGGGGGGGGGGGAGCCGCTGCCGCTCGGCGCAATCCCTTAAAGTGCGAGAGAAGCTTCTGCAGTCCCAGCCCAGCGCAAGCCTCCGCGCCTTTTCTACAGCCCCTCTGACATCATGTCCTGGCCAGCCCTCATTGGCTGCACCAGCGCCTGGCCCAGGCAGCATGTGCTTGGGATGGAGGCACTGAGTGGAGACGGGAGAGGCATGGCTAGGGGTAGGCTGGGGGGGAGCTGGAGTTTTCATGCGATTGAGGCTTTGCTGCTATTTTCCCACTTTTGCAAAAAAAAAAAAAGAAAAATAATGCTTCCCATCCTCTTCAGACCCATCACTCTAGGGAACTAACATCTGAGCGCGTGGGGGCCCAGAAACCCGGCAGGGATCCTATTCTCTGCAGCAGATCCAGTGCCGCCTTGCCTCCTGCACCCAGAAGAGAGAGTGCTTGGAGCAGAGGAACAGCAGCCACTCAAACTCAGACCAGCATCGGTAAGAAGATTCACATTAACTAACTGGCAACACTAAATGATTTATATGTTACAGTGGCCGCTGCAAGCAGGATATATCAGAGTGAACTGACTCCCAGGCAGGAGACTCAGGAGGTCAAGGAATGGTTTACACTCAGAGATCATCTGATCTGAAACATATACAATTCATGGAATGCAACCAACATCATTCACCCTCCTTCTGAAACATAGTCATAGCTAGAATATTGTCATTGGTGCCATTAAACTTCATGGAGTGGCTCACAAACTGATCCTTCTCACTTCTCTTATTTCCAAGTTCACTTTAAGCAAACTAGGCCAGAGAAGCCTCTTCCCAATTTAAGGCAAAGACATCAAGGAATCCCCCAGTAAAAAACGAAGGAAATGCAACAGGAAACCTCTCAAGATTTATAAATATTCTCCAAGAAGATGGAAGGTTTAGTGCTCTGAGGTCAAATATCAGTGTTTTAGTTATGTTAGCAAAGGGATTAGGTTGGAAAGTAAGTCTTAATTTACTTATGAGATCCCAGAATTTACTTGGGACCTGTGAGTAAAAATTATTACATGTTTTTATTATTAGCGGTAGTGGTTGGCATCTTACAAATGGAGTAAAATTATTACTATTGTTTATTATTTCATTATTATTGTTAGCAGTAGTAGTGGTCTGCCTCTTACAGGTGTAATAAAGTGAAGAATGCTACATTTAGCTACAGTTGGAATTATTCCTTTTATTACTTTCTTGATTTTATGTATTGACATTTTTATAATAAACTATACTCACTGCTACCTTTCCCTTTGAATAGTTTCAAATGATTAAATACATTTTCACCTCAGAGTGAGGAACAAGGTGTTGTCAGCATATTATGTCTCACAGAGATTTATATAAAAAAACCTCAAGAGCCCTTGAGGAGTCGTGCAGAACGCAGGCTAATCTGGCATCTGTGGGATATATCCAGAGAATGTGCCAAAGTTATCAGTGCTTGGAAACAAAGGAAACTGGTATTTTAATTCTGATTAGAAAATGAAACAGAATAATCAGATTTGTACAGTATTTCTCTTGTCAATCTGTAGTTTATTTTGTGTTTTCATATTCTCATTGTTTCTTTCACTCCAATATATATATATATATATATATATAAATTATTTTTATTATAATATACAGGGACAGATGAATCACCATACATGTTGATAGTAACAGGTATGTGGCTTTTGCTCTTTTCCACACTTTATTTATCCCTTCCCAACTATTCAACATGCAAGACCTCACTAGTATTCTCTATGATGGGTGGTTTGCCTCCATTTAATAGTGTACAGGGGTAAAACAACTCAGGTAAAAAGTTACACACAGTACTGTTTGCATAATACCATGTCTTGTCACGGAACACAATTGCATTACTTTTACTTAGGTATCTTGCTGTATGTGTTCTGTATCTATATACTGTATTTTCCTTAGATCTCTTCATACAAGTTTAATTCTATAATACAGAACTTATTGCACATGTTCTAAATATATTTATAGCTGAAACAGGTCATAGCCTCTTCTACTTAATGTCAGGCCTCAGACATTGCTAATTATCTCTAAAAGATTAGATTATATTTCATATAATTATATTGAATTAGTGGCTGGAAACAATAACAGAAGTGATATGATTGAAAAGGTATGGCAGTGACATCCAGTTCTTAGGCTACTATCTCTGATTATCTTCTTAAGTGATATACAAACACAAGAAGGCATCCAACCCTTGCTACTAGAATACAACAAGGAAAGTAATAGATTGTAAACACAAAGCTGCTAGTGTACATACTGACACATGAATGACATTTACATTGTTCAGAATAAAAAGCAGGATATTCTCGAATAATGAACAGAGGAAAAACCACTGTAATACAAATCATCTTTTAAAATCAAATAGGGTCTCTTTTGAAATGGGAAATTATTCATTTTTAAAAAGTGAAGCTAATAATAAAGTCCCTTAACCTGTATTTTGTAGTAGGTGACAGGTGAACAAATCACAGGTCTTGAGTTTCTCTACCCTGCCTCTCTCTGGTAACGTCATCTCCAGTACCATCTGCTACCTACCAGCTAAACAGACCAACCACATAATGAGGTACCAGCTTCCACCCAGCTACCGTGACTAAATCAGAACAAAAGAATTCAACGCCTCCTTCAACAAAGGGACACAAGTCTAAGCTGTCTTTGCTAATTGCTGGGTTTCAGGTTGTCTGTTGCAGATTTTAAGTGAGCTGCAAACTTGCATCCATACTTTATAGCTGTTGGATAAAGATAATGCGAATAAAAGATAAATGGAAACCGAAGGTAAGAAAAAATAGAAGAAAGCTCAGAAAACAAGTAACTAGTTATGGCAAATTAAAGGGTGTGGAATAATATAAACATGAGAGAGCAGGGGGCAGAGTGATTGATTTCTCATATGTTTTTGATGCCCCATACGGTTATTAGACTGCAATATACGGGACATACAATAAACTATGAATTAAAACGTAATTGCAGCTTCAGGCATCTTCTTCATTGTCTGCTGTGGTGTTATGTCTTCATGCACCGTGATTGACAAGGTGTAATTAATCATCTTACTCAGTTGTAAATATGGGCACCCTTCACAGTAGGCATCAGGAAGTGTGTACCAGCAAAGAAAGCAATAGTTGACGCTGATATACCATTAAATCAAAATGAAAAGTCTTATATGTTCAGAAATGTGTGTTTGGTGTGATGCTGTTATCGTTTATTTCTAAAATACTGTATCAACAGATTTACTTGATTTGCAAGTTAACTACAACATTAACTGTTTTTATTTATTTTGTCTCTTCTTCATTTTTATAGGCAATGATGCTGTTCTCCTAAAATGTGAGACAGTTTTCTTCTTGACAGCAAGTGGAGCCCAGCTCTGCATCTCCCTCAGTCACTGGAGAAAGACTAACATGCTTCAGATTCAGTTGCTTTCCAGACGGACTTGAAATGATTACTCCATTCATCTATCCCATTTTATACTTATTGTGTAACAAGTGAGACACTGTGGGTCATTTTAAAGTAAAAGGGAATAGTGGTATAATCCTATTAAAGACATCAGACTATTAAAATAGGACAGATATTAACATCACCCTAAACTGTAAATGAATGTATTTGTAAAGGTGTTTTAAGTTTCCAGAATGAAGCACATTTTATGTTGCTATTTCTTTGCTACACCATCACTATACTTATCCAGCTAGTGCAGCTGGGTGTATGAGTCATAGGAAATTATATTTCTTGCTTATTAAATGGTTTGTCTCAGGAATATTTCATAGTGTATATTTTTTTCACTCACATAAAGATGTTGAGAGAATAACTCGCAACCTATTTAAATGTCCTTTGCTTAAGAGATGTCTATTATATTTGCTGGGGATTTTTTAAATTTTTATTGCCTTTCTAAACTGTTAATTATGTATCGAAATGTATTGCTGTCACCAGTCTAACATGAACAAAGCAATAGAGTGAACTGCCTGAGATATTTCAGCATGGTATTAATTACAAGCATAGTAATAAATGAAAATTCTACAAACCTCTCCAATTGCATTTGTTTGTAACCCCAGTTGATGAATGTTTTATACTAGCACGTGGCAAAAAAATACCATTCCAGGGACTCAGCAACTAAATATGATCTAAACCCAGAATCTTTGGGGCAGGGTAGCATCTCTTGGATCTATAATCTCACCATTTGCTCCAATCTGAATGAGCTCCCCTGCTGTGTCTCAGCAATATACCTAGTTTAAGACAATGCAAGCAGCCCACTTTCCAGAAGATGATCAGCAAAGAATGTGTTTTATTCTGATTTGAAAACCTGTCAATCATTGATAAATAAGATCAGATAGTATTACTCTATAAAATTAGCTAATTGTATTTGCCTGATTTGCAAGAAGAATAAAAAATGTTTCTAAGGAAAATATTGAGGATGATTTACCCAGATGTTGTATATAAATTG